ATGAACCAACATTTTCGAAAAGTTACTTTTTTTTTGGACCACAGTTCTCTGAATCCGACATGTCCCAATGGCTATGGGATTTGGTGAGGGAGAGCCATGAACTCAATGCCATGGAGGCCTCCTGTAAATGTCCATGAAGACAGTATGAGTGCAGAGCAAAAGGGTCACCTAGAAACCACCCCAGTAGTGGAGTATAAAGAAGTATAAAGAAAAAGGACAAGTCAAAAAAAAAAAAAGAACCAACATTTTGGGAAAGTTACTTTTTTTGGACTACAATTCTCTGAATCCCACATGTCCCAATGGCTATGGGATTTGGTGAGTTTTAACTGATATAACCAATATCTCTAAGCTCAGTGCCACCCAATCAATGAATAAATAAGCTCTCTATCAGGACTACTCGAACAGAGGGGCAGGTCTTCTGACACACCTCTTCCTGAGACATCACTATAGCAGCCCCCTAGCCTTTGAGTGTCTATGCAATCCACATCTTAACATGGCAAGAGGGGGTTAAGTGTGTTAGTGAAGCCAAGAGCAATGCCGTCAGACTCCATTATGAGCCTGGATTCCTAACAGGGTCACTCAAGGAAGAATATTCATAACTGAGAAACCGGACTAAGATGCATCCACATCCTTCGAGGCAAGTACTGGGAATCAGCAGCAGCCATCACCCCTAGCCTTTGGGTGTCTGCGCAACCCTTCTTGAATCCACATCTTAACATGGCAAGAGGGGGTTAAGTGTGTTAGTGAAGCCAAGAGCAATGCCGTCAGACTCCATTATGAGCCTGGATTCCTAACAGGGTCACTCAAGGAAGAATATTCATAACTGAGAAACCGGACTAAGATGCATCCACATCCTTCGAGGCAAGTACTGGGAATCAGCAGCAGCTGACGGCGATACTGGTGGAAGAATCAACAGTAGTTACACTCAAGTTAACTTTTGTTAGCACTGCACAGAAGATGGAAATGGTAAACCCTCACTGAACTTTCCTTACTATGAAAATTAGATAATGAGACAGTCCAAAATAAAACAAGATATAGTGCTGGGAGATTAGACTCTCAGGTTGGAAAGCACTCAATCACCTTCTAGGGCAGGGGTGAGCAATTAATTTCTATAGGGGGCCACATGAAAAATCTGAACTGTGTTCAGGAGCTTAACCAACTTTGCTTAAAAACAAAATGATGTTATGATTGTTTTTAGTTTAAGCTTGTTAATCTTAACAAATACTAAAGAGGTTTTTTGCGGTATGTTAAAGATAAGCAACTGATCAACATTAGACAAAAAGCTATAAATGGTTTTGATGTTCAACTTGTTCAGTGAGAGAAATCCAGTCTGTCTTGGGCTTGAACAAGTGCTTGACTGGAGCAATGACCAGCGGGCCGAACAGGAGTGGCTCGCGGGCTGTATGTGGCCCTTGGGCCGCACTTTGCCCAGGTCTGTTCTAGGGAAAAGCAAAGGAAAAGGACAAATAGCTCTGTCATTAATGATGAAGCTAGACTAAAGCCGAAAGGATGTCTAGCAGCTGACATGCACAGAAGTGCACAACATACAGTTGAGAAGTATGAATCAAGGTAAACTAGATACTGTAAAGCAAGAAATGGGCAATTAGGGGCTATAATGCAAGATCTGACTAAATAATATCAATTAGACTCTGTGGAAATACCTATCTACATCACTGTTATTCAAGTCTATGTTCCAACTACCAATGCTGAAGAAGATAAAATTAAAAGCTTTTATGCAAGTATCAAAGAGGAAACCGATTACCCACCCACCCCAAAAAGCAGGCTTATAATTTCAGGTTAAGAAGGAATGGAAATGGGTGGAAGAAACATCAATAACTTAGATATGCAGATGACACCATCTTCCTGGCCAAAAGCAGCAATGACTTTAAACGACTTTTAATGAAACTGAAAGAAGAAACTGCCAAAGCAGTACTGCAGTTGAACACTGAGAAGACTAAAATCATGACTACAGAAGAACTATACAACTTTAATGCCGACAATGAAGAAATTGAAATTGTCAAAGGTTTTGTATACCTTGGTTTCATCATCAATTTAAATGGAAACTGTAGCCAAGAAATCAGAAAGGGACTGGGACTCAGAAGGGCAGCAACAAAGGAATTTAAAAAGATCATAAAACGTAAGGATGTGTCACTGGAGACCAAGACCAAGGTCATCCACACTCTCGTATTCCCGGTCACCAAGTATGTGTGTGGAAGTTGGACAGTAAAGAAAACTGACAGGGAAAAAATTGGCTTGTTTGAAACGTGATGCTGGAAGAGAGCTTTGGAGATACTTTGGACTGTCGGAAAGATGAACAAGTGGGCCCTAATGAAGCCTGAGCTATCTCTGGAGCCAAAAATGATGAAATTGATGCTTTCATATTTTGGGCGTGTTATGAGAAGGAGAATCTCTGGAAAAGACAATAATGCTAGGAAGGCAGAAAAATGAGTAAGACCAAATATGAGATGGATGGACTCAGTAAAAGAAGCCACAGGCTTCAGTTTATAGGAGGTGAGCATGGCTGTTGAAGACAGGGCATTTTGGAGAGCTCTCTGTTATAGGCTGGTATAATTTGGGAGGCAGCCTGATGGCACATAACAACAACAACAACAACAACAACAACAACAACAACAACAACAACAACAACAACAACAACAACAACAAAGATGGCCTAAAAATTCTCCTACAAGAATTTTGGGGTGGGGGGGAGAGCAGGGGGCAAATATTGTCCTGAAGCAAACCCTCAGCTCACCACTGTTCATGACCAGTCATCCCCTTGTAACACGGGTATCACTTGCAAGAATTTCAGTTTGGGATCATGCCTATAAATAATCAGATTCCTCTTTCAGTCCAACAGACCTATACTTGATACTATAAACGTTTCCACTCTCCGATACCATTCACCAGATCTGGTCAATTAATTCTGAACTCAGTGCATTAACATTTGGAACTGTCAGTATGCTTTTAGAAAAAGTAATATCGTGAACCAGGTTTTTTTAAACAATGAAATGAAGTGTTGCATTTTTTTAATGAAATAAAGACATAAGTAGAGCAAGTGCCCTTTAAACAGAGAAAATGCTTCTTATAACACGGCTTGCGCATTGAGAAGTACAGTATTTCCTGTTCTTTATTGTCACCATGCACTCAGAGAGAAGGGAGGCACCTTGTTGTCTGTGAGAGCTAACAAAGTCCTAATAAGTGAGCCTTAGCAACATGCCAACAAATGCCTTGTGTCATTTGAGACATCAAGTTTTTAAAGGTAAAGTCAGCTCTGCATCATCAGAGAGCTGCAGTTTGTCAAAAGAAAGGAAATCACAAACAGAAGCTATTCTTGATATATCCCATCACCATGTTTTAAATGACTATGCTCCAAGTATTCCCATTCTCAGTTTTAAAGTCAAGCTGTGAAAATTTGCACAAGTATTAAGGACTCCTTGCAAATTAATCCCTCCAGTAAAGCAGATTTGAAAAATAAAAATAAACTGAAATAAAGAAACCGCCTCCCACCTCACCAAACCACAATTGATGCAACTTTAAATAACATTTACATATATATTATATTTCTCAATGTTATATTAAACCTGAGCTGGGGTTAGATTTTATTGGAGTTCCCAAATAAATTAAAGCCATTTATCATTAAAAAAAAAAATAATCTGTTCTAAAATATCTCATTAACTTTGCATCCAAATGCAAGCGCATTATAATGCCTATCCCAGCTAGGTCAAATGACTCAAAGAACCAGAAACGAGTTATAAGAAATTATTGGTTTCAACTTCATGGCATGCTGATCTTTTTTTTTTTTAAATGAAATTTGAAACACTGTGGATGCTGCGTTGATTAATGTGAGTGCACAAGAAACTGGCACTAGAAAAAATGGAAGGGAGGGGGAGTTCCCTAGTTAAGATGAAAAGAGGTGTCAGATTTAAAAGCAGCGCTGTCAACTGATTAATGGATTTCAAAACTTTGATTATTCTGGCTTTTAACTGATTAATTGAGGTATTTAAATAGAATTAAATTAATTTAAAATTTGCAAGCTCAATGAAGGCAGCTGGGAGGGAATCCTGCAATTAAGGAATTCACCCTTAAAAAACAAAATGTCCCATGTAGCGTTGGGAAAGTTGCTCATAATACATATTTTTTCACGCCATTGCCAAACAGGAAATATATTAAAGCAGAACAAAACGCCACAGCCAAAATGCTTAATAACAATCAGATCCAGGTTCAAAAATCAGTGAGACTGGTTTTTACTGAACCTTTTTAGCAACAGTTGCCTGTTGTTATCAGAAATATAGCATAAAGCTTGTCTACGTGTTGGTGTTGAGAGATCTCTGGGACAATAAAACCTAGAAATATGAAATTTTTCACAAATACCACGCTGGCTAGTGGAATGAGTCTGGAAGATGGATTCCGGAGTTGGTACTTGAGGGATTCTGACAGTTGTAATCCTCTCACCAAAACAGCTTTCTGCTGTTTGCAAAAGGATAATGTGTTCTTAACACCGCGACATTTACGCAATTATTTGATTTTTATTTCTATGAAAGCCTGTGAAATCATGGATGGTTTCACTACGGCTAATTGAACAGAAATGCTTTTCTCACAAATAATAGGTCAAAGCACTGACTGCATTTTTTTTGCCACATATTTCCAGTTGGATGATGGTGAAAGACTTTAAAAAAAACTTGGAATCTGGGCCAGATGATGGTCCGAAGAAGAAGCATTTGGCATCCCCAATATCCAGTGGAAATCCAGCTAAATGGGGAGTATGGCAACATTACCCACAATTAAAAGCTGCAGTTAATGGCAAAAGTGATTGAAGCTTGAATTCCTGCCCAAGATAAGCCTTATTTTCTACATTTAGAGAATTAAAGAGGCAACTGTGCACCCATCTATAGTTTCTTTCTTTTCTTTTTCTTTCTTTTTTGGGTAAATATGGCCAAAGTAAGTGTGCTTTGCCCTTTAGAGAATTTCTTTCTATGCAATGCCGTTAACTGGAAACTTACCTGCATAATCTGTTCTTGCATAATGTCCGTCTTCTGTCTTGGTGGTGGTGGTTGTGTTATCTGAAAGACAGTAATACATTTTATTTGTAAGATGCCAAATATCCATCTACAGGGAGAAAAGGCGGGTAGAAGATAGATAGATAGATAGATAGATAGAGAGAGAGAGAGAGAGAGAGAGAGAGAGAGAGAGAGACAGACAGACAGACAGACAGACAGACAGACAGACAGACAGACAGAGGTTCAGTTAGTATTCAAAATCCTCTGGTTCATGAATGTGGGATATTGTACAGTGGGGTCTTGACTTAAGAAATCCAATAAATGACCTAGAGGTTCAATTAGTATTCAAAAAACCTCTGGTTCATGAATGTGGGATATTGTATGTCTGTATCCACAATTCAAAAGACCAGGAAATGGCCTGATATTGCTGCGCACTATTGTACCCATGTTGACAGCAGGAAAAAGGATGCCAACATCAGCCTAAATTTTGTCAACACTAATGGTAGCAGTCAAGATGGTCTACAGCAGCGGTCCACAACCTTTTTGGGGCCGCGGACTGGTTGGGGGGAGCGGGCTCTGTGCATGGGGGTGGGTGGGAATATTTTTTTCAAACAAAACAATAAAGAGTATTGTTAAAAAATTGAGAACCCTTTTTTTTCAAAAACAAGTTATTAATTTGAAGCAAATATAGAAAAAAAATCTATTCAGTTAATTTCTCCATTTTATCCAGTTATAGAATTTAAGGAATTTCCAGGAACTGAACCGGAATTTGGAGAAATTATTAAGAAAGAAAAAAAAGGTTATTAGGCTAAATGACTGGTTGGGAAAGATGGGTTATAAACAGCAAATACTAGTATTAGGATTGGAAATAATTATCCACAGTTCAACAGACCAGGAAATGGCCTGATATTGCTGTGCACTATTGTACCCATGTTGACAGCAGGAAAAAGGATGCCAACATCAGCCTGAATTTGTCAACACTAATCGTAGCAGTCAAGATGGTCTACAGCAGTGGTCCACAACCTTTTTGGGGCCGCGGACTGGTTGGGGGGAGCGGGCTCCATGCATGGGGGGGTGGGGCACTTTGAGAATATTTTTTTCAAACAAAATAATAAAAAGTATTGTTAAACAATCGAGAACCCTTTTTTTCAAAAACAAGTTATTTATTTGAAGCAAATATGGGAAAATATCTATTCAATTAATTTCTCCATTTTATCCAGTTATAGAATTTAGGGAATTTCCATGAAATCTGAACCGGAATTTGGAGAAATTATTAAGAAAGAAAAAAAGGTTATTAGGCTAAATGACTGGTTGGGAAAGATGGGTTATAAACAGCAAATACTAGTATTAGGATTGGAAATAATATCTTGGTTTAAGCTTATCCAATTAGAGCAATGGACTGAAGATAATGTAGAAAGAAATGGTAAATGCAGGAATCTTACAAGATTTGAAAAAAAAATATTAGTACTGAAGGAGAAAGTATATGAAAGTCTATTAGTACTGAAGGAGAAAGTATATGAAAATAAGATAATGAAAAGGATTACAAGTAGAGATGGGGACATTTATATTTGTAAATGAATATGAATATCCTCGCACAGCTGTCCTTAACGAAGGTCTGGCCCCTCGGGGCGGACCGTCCATTCACGCATCCGCTAGCGGTGGCCCCGCTCATCCTTCCAATTGCAGACCGTCCATTCACGCATCTGCTAGCGGTGGCCCCCCTCATCCTTTCAATTGCTCCTGGAGAGCTTCTCACTTCCCTCTCAGCTAGCCACTCCAGGCAGGGGGAGGGAGGACAAGTCTCCCTACACAGCTGCTGAGTGGCCAGCCGAGCAGGAAGAGAGTGTCACTCTGGGAACTACTGGAAGGATGAGTGGGGCTGCTCTTGCCACTGGACATGTGAGTGAACAGTCCAGCCCCTCGTTAAGTCCAGCTGTGTGGGGATATTTGTATACGAATACCCCCATCTCTAATTACAAGTAGAATTTACAAGGTATTATAAGAACCAACAAGATGCTCTTAAATCATTATGGGAACATGATTTTGGAGAATAAATAAGTATTGAGGTGTAGAAGAACGAATACCCCCTTCTCTTAATTACAAGTAGAATTTACAATGTATTATAAGACCCAACAAGATGCTCTTAAATCATTATGGGAACATGATTTTGGAGAATAAATAAGTATTGAGGTGTAGAAGAATATATGGGATAAAAGAATATTAAAGTGTATGTCTATAGAGTGGCCTGGTTGCCAGATGGTGAGGGGTATAAATCCAATCAATCAATCAATCAATCAATCAATCAATCAATCAATCAATCAATCAATCAATCAATCAATCAATCAATCAAAGGAGAATTTTTATAAATTAGTCTGCAAATGGTATTTAACTTTGGTGAAATTAAATCACATAGATGTTAAACATTCTAATTTATATTGGAGACGATGTCAGGAAGTAGGTACTTATTTCCATATATGGTGGGAATGTGAGAATACATTAAAATTCTGGAGGTTCAACCAAGGACATAAATAAAATAATTAAGTTAAATATAGAGGTTTGCCCTAAGATGGCTCTCTTATCCATATTTTATAATGAGCAATGGAATAATAATAATAAATAATAATGAAATAATTAATTTCAAATTTATTAACAGCAGCACAATTAATGTTAGGAAAGAATTGGAAAGGCAAGCATGATTTTCTATTAGATGAATGGTATAAAGAAACTGTTAAGTATACATTAACACATAATATGAAAATTAAAAATAGATTGTTACCTAAAAATATCCTTATTGATATATAGGGAGAATTTGAATTATGTGTTAAATGAAGGGAAGTGCGGTGTACTTTCACAAGAATTAGTGCTGATATGGAAGGGGAATAAGGCATTGTAATGAAGGAAAAATTGGTTTTTGCTCCAGATGGTCCTGGTGGGAGGGAATACTTTTTTGTATTGTTGTGTTCATTTTGTGTTTTGGGTTATTAAAATTTTCTTGGTTAGTTGTCTCTTGTTTTATTTTTTATTGGTTGTTATAATTTTTTTAAAAAAACCTTACAGTAATTTCACAGCTTAAACAAGTGAGTTTCTGAACATCTGTTCTCTATTCTTTTTTAAACTATCTTTTTAAATATTTTTACAGCCAGACACAGTATCCTTTTGTTGGCACTAATGTTTGTCCAGGAAGAAGTTAAAACGCTCTCCTCCTGGGAGTCAGCTAATTGGGTCCTGAATGATAGGGTCAAAAGTTCTGATTGTTGCAGACTTAGAGCTGATTTTCCCTTTGAAGACTTGTGTCAAAAGCCTGGTCTCAGAAATCCTTCTGCTGACTAAACACAATCAGAGCATGGACAAGTGCAACTGTTCTGTACTTTCGTAATGCAGAAATACATTGAATATGCCTTACAAAATTGTATGCTAATTCCCTGGAGATAGATGGCAGAATGTCCTGGGTTCTGAAGAATTGTTACTCCATTACTTTCTTGAAACCAAGCCTGTTTTTGTTTTGCTTTTTGTTTACTCTTTGAAGAAAACCTGCTTTTTGAATCTGTCTCCATGATCTTTCATTGCCCTACAACCTTCCTCGCACAAGGCATGCTAACTTATAACAAAATGGTTGGTTTTTTTCCCCTCTTTGAAAGGCCTTTTCGAATTTCCCCATTAGAGATGGGGAAATTCGAAAAGTAATATACCCTTAGTAATATAACCTTGCCTCTTCTCTGTAAAAATCAATCCAAATATTTCATTGAAAACCTTTATGTACTAGTCAAAGAGTACTTTGCTGAATGTGTCAGCCAATTAAACTTGCCTAAAATATGCAAAACTAACATATATCCATGGAGATTTTAAAAGGGGTAGGGGCCTCATTCAATACGAAATTTGCCATTTGTGCATCTGAGGTCAGGGGAGGACAGGGGAGGACAGAGTATGACATGCCACAGAAAATAACTGGCTTGGATAAATATTTTGGGTTTCTCAGGGGAAATACTCCACTTTGTTAACACAGATATGTCTCTTGCAGTCACTGGGAGAGTAATCTCTGCAGACACAGTTGCTTGTTTGTTTGAATTAGGTCTGTGCATCAGTTTCAGTCAACTCCAGAATCCTGAACCAAATCAGCCTGATACAGGCAGATCTGTTGTTGTTCAAGTTGTAACAGAATGGTGAGACTTGGTTCTCAGGCAAAACAAAGTCACTCAGACTGATTCTGATTTAAGAGTGTAAAATGGGTTTTTTTTTAACTTACCCCCCCACTAATTACTCAATGTGTCCTATTTAAAGATCAATATACTAACAACACAATATTATTACTTACTGTTACTAATTCTTCCTCCTTAAATATACACTTTAGATATACACTTAAAAATATAAGAACAACCAAAAAGGAGGCAGAAAAATCCTCATCTTCAAAGTGACATTCATATACCACGAACAAGCAAACTAGGACTTGTGTTATTTCACAAACGGAACACCACTATGTCTTCAGTGTTTTGGAAAGTAACATGTTCTAGGCAGAGATGGGGCAAAATAACTTTTTGGGACTACAACTCCCAGAATACGCTCCTCAGCATATCCGCAGAATACCTCAGACAGCAAGTGGTCATGCTGAATGGGATATTCTGGGGATTATTTTGGTTATATAACTGTGATTAAGAAGAGACTCGTTTTGTGAAATTGTCTTTGTAAGGTTCATCAATAGATATCAACAGCCCCTTAGAACTCAAAAGCTTTACATATGTCACGGCCACAGTGAAAGACTAGGCCAGCATACAGAAACATCGCAGTCACTGACAAGCACAGCTTTTTGCTGAAATGTGCTAGATTCAGTTGTAGTTATTCTACTACAAGAGTGTGTAGAATAACTGTATACTGGACTATCACCCTGAACTTGGAACCTTGGACTATAATTCCCAGAATCCCCATATGGCCCACTGGCCATGCTGGCTATAGCAGCCTGGAAACTGTAGTCCAGAAAAGTTACCATTCTGAGCTCTGCTGTGATCACAGTAAATAACTCCCCCCCACCTTTGTGCACCAAATATATTGGAAATACATCTGCAGTGTAAGAAGAAAATCAACCCCAGTCCAACCCATCCTTCCACATGCATAAAGAAATAAAGCAAAACAAAAATGGAGAGCACTCTTTGGAGTCAGCTTTACGAGGAGCATTACCTTGACATCGACCCAAAGACATGACTTCAATTTTCTCCTGTTTCTGGCATGATGCTTCTTTGATCTGACATGCATTATCATACGATTTCCCATCGGAGGCACAGAGAGGATTGAAGTTGGTTTGAGAACAGTCAATGTTACATACGCACCTGAAAGAATAGGGGGTAAAAAAAAGGCAAATGTGAAAATAAAACTCCAAACCCGCAGATGTATAATAAACCAAAGCCCTAGGATGCTTTCCCAGTGTTATTAAAACAGTAAAATGGGAAAGTTAAAAGAAAATGCTTGACACTTTGCCATGGATTTGCAATTACAATGTGACAGAAAGACAGTGGAAACTCCTGGGCTGGATCCACTCACATATCTGTATAGGACGGTTATCCAGAAAATAATAAAAACACAAAAATGTGTTGCACCAACTGCAAGGCTCAGCTGTGAACACGGACTTTATTTCCAATAATATACTGGTTAGAGGTACTTTTTGGTGGTGCCACTCCAGGTATGGAACTCTCTCCATAACAAATCTCCTCTCGTCACTATATTTTCGACACTATGCAGATTTTTTTTCTTGTGTTTCCTCACCCCTTTAAATACGATGTCCTTCCATAGCAAATCTCCTCTCGTCACTACTGTATATTTTCGACACTATGCAGATTTTTTTCTTTTGTTTCCTCACCCCTTTAAATACGATGTCCTGAGTCATTTCAATCCATTTTCCTTAGAATTACTCATCTACATTGTTTTGCATTATTTTGCTAATTTTAAAATTCATTTTATGGATTTGCTTATTGTCCATGTTTTATTACTGTATGTTCTTAACTACTGTTTGTATCTTAGTTTGAATTGCCTGTAGAGTCATCTGGCTGCTAAGGATGTAAATCCCTGTTCATCTTGCTCTACTGTCACAAGACAAGAAACATCCTTTTTCCTCTTTCTGAGTTCTGTAACCATGAAATGTTTTCATTCAGGAGCAATGAGAGATCTTGCAAGAATGATTTTTGTGCAAATTGTCAGAAATGATAGTGCCACCTTGTTGCATGGACTTTCCCAAAACAGAAGTATTGGATCAGCTGTGTTTTTTCCCCCCGGATCAATCAGCCAACCTTCTGTATTTGCTCTCTAGGTTTCAGAAAGGGAAAGGTTTTGTGGAGAGACATTGTACATAAATTGCGGAAACCTCCATGGGGGAAAAAGTGCTTCTTGTGTCATTCTCACCCTGGAGGTGAGACCTCTCATAGGAGTTAGTGATTTCTCAACGAGCTGTATCACTAAGAATGAGTAATTTCACAAAATTCTTTGCATTCTTATTGACTGCAGGTCAGTGTGCAAATACATCTTGTAAATAAACACTTTCCTTTAGCCACACATATACTAGATGGCAGAAAGTGAGGAGGAATTAAAGAACTTCTTAATGAGTGTGAAAGAGGACAGCGCAAAATATGGTCTGAAGCTCAACATCAAAAAACTAAGATCATGGCCACTGGTCCCATCACCTCCTGGGAAATAGAAGGGTAAGACATGGAGGCAGTGACAGATTTTACTTTCTTGGGCTCCATGATCACTGCAGATGGTGACAGCAGCCCCGAAATTAAAAGACGCCTGCTTCTTGGGAGGAAAGCGATGACAAACCGCGACAGCATCTTAAAAAGCAGAGACATCACCTTGCTGACAAAGGTCTGCATAGTCAAAGCTATGGTTTTTCCATATGGATGTATGGAAGTGAGAGCTGGACCGTAAAGAAGGCTGACTGTTGAAGAATTGATGCTTTTGAATTGTGGTGCTGGAGGAGACTCTTGAGAGTCCCCTGGACTGCAAAGAGAACAAACCTATCCATTCTGAAGGAACTCAACCCTGAGTGCTCACTGGAAGGACAGATCCTAAAGTTGAGGCTTCAATGCTTTGGCGATCTCATGAGAAGAGAAGACTCCCTGGAAAAGACCCTGATGTTGGGAAAATGTGAAGGCAAGAGGAGAAGGGGACGACAGAGGATGAGATGGTTGGTCAGTGTCATCGAAGGAACCAACATTAATTTGACACAACTCTGGGAGGCAGTGGAAGACAGTAGGGCCTGGCGTGCTCTGGTCCATGGGGTCACAAAGAGTCGGACACGACTAAACGACTAAACAACAACAAATACATTTTTTCATTTCAACAGTTTTGTCACAATGAGATACACAAACCAGATGACCTTTTTGACTAATCTTATGCTGAGGTAAGCGGAACCTAAATGTATACTAATTATAACAGGATTATAACAGGATAGATTTTCAGGGGATGGGGTAGTCGTGTCAGAAATATTTCTGTCAGCATCATTTGCCCACCCCCAGCCTTAAAGGACACAAGAAAAAGAGAAGCAGGAAACAATTATTATGTACTTGGTAATGACTCTGATTTACCGACAAGAAAAGATAACCCCAAAAATGTCTATAGTAGAGATAGAAAATTTCTGAAAATTTCAAGTTTTCCTGGAAAAAAGGGATTTTTTGGGAAATGTTACGTCTCTAGTCTGTAGGGGGTGAGTGGGGGAGAAAGATCCTAGCATCTTAAAATGAGCCACTCTGAATCCATACAAAAAATGCCAGCATTAATCTGCACATACATGCACAGTCTTAGTAGTGTAACAACAGAAACAGAGGGCGAAAAGGAAGAAAATTTGAGAACAGAAATGCAGATTTGAAGACAAAAATTGGAGAATGCAAATGCTACACGGACACACATCTTTCTCTTTCACTGCAGCTAAAAAGCAAAACAAAATGCAAAGAGCTGCTGCTACAGCCTGATAATCTGCCTGAGAGATTCTAAGCAACTGGAGTGTTCAGGAGTTGTCTGTACTTCACTGGGGCATTTGTGTGTGAAGCTATCAGTCCCTTCCTTTGGCTTCCTTTTAAGGTCTTGTTTCCCTTTCCCATCTATGGTGTCTTTTTTATTTTTACATTTGCATCCCCATAAATGTCAGATTCAAAATGAGGTAATACCCTGCCCAGGTTCTTGGACGAGGCCTGTTGTTGCCCCAGAAATGCACGAAAAGCCCTGGATTTACACATTTGTCCAAGGACAGTGCACATCCCTAATGCATAGGTAGCAGAACTCCAAAGTCCTAAAAGCCAGAAGTCGGGAAGCAATTTTACTGCAAGGTTTCAGTCTCTTCCCTTGTATCTCACTTGTGGGTTTTCTTCCCTGCACAGAGGAAAGAAAGCAACCTGGCAATAGAGGAAGAGATGCCGTACTTTCTCCACCGGCAAATGGCATTGTCTGGGTCCAAAACACATGGTTTCAGGGAGGTGAACAGGGCTTCAAGTGGGACTGGGTCTCCACCAGGACCTTGGTGGGTCACTAAGGCCCCACCCCCATTTCTTCTAACCGGTCCCTTGAGGGCATCTAAGCATCTGAGTAGAGCAAACCAGAGAGTGCCTATTCCCTTGTCTTCCTCTCTATTTGCCTTTATAGCTCTGCACACTTTCTAGAAACTACATCTCAGCTTTTTTAAAACTGCTAAACAAAAATAGTTTAAAAACATTTAAAGAAGTAAATCTCAGACATTAGTGTGTGTCTTTTCTATGTGTTTATTCTTAATCTCTTGAAGGCTGCAAAAAATAATTAAAATGCCGAGAAACGCTAAATCAGCAGCAATATTTACGTCACTGCACAGCCTATCCTGTATAATTTATGAAGTTCATTCTGAGGTATAAATGACAACAAATTAAAGAATAGAAACAGCCGGTCGTAATACTATCAGTTTGCACCTTTGGGGAGTAAAATTATGGAATGTAGGCTTGTAGCAGTTCAAATAATGAACTGGATTTCTGGAAGAAAATTTCTGTGAGTAAAGTTTTCTTTTTTGGGTGGAAAAGTGGGGAATGAAGCAAAACAAAACAGATCCTTGCAAACCAAGTTTCCATAGGCTTTCAGTGAAACTAACATTCATATAAGTACTCTCTTTTACATCCTACACAGAGCCACCAGAAAATGAATAGAGAGACAGTGTGCCGTTATTCAACATTTGTCATGTGATCTGGTCTTTGGGTGACCATTACTAAACTGCTGAATCAGCTTAAGCTGCACTTAAAGTCAATGACATTTTCCTTATGACCTATGTGAGAGCAGCTCGATGTGTCTCTATAGCAAGCATATTTGCTGTGTGCAGTCACGTTACGTGGCACAATCAACGCCTCAGGGTTCCTACAAAGCCACCTGGGTGCTTAAAGATGCATAAATTAGAATAAGGTAATTCACAATTTACACTCTGTGGTGGGAGCCACGGATACAACATGGGGGTATGCATAGCAAATGCATTTGCCATATCATTCAGGATTGCATGAATACTAAATAAGATCACAAAGAAGGAAACAGCAATGATGATGCTAAGATCTTAAACACTATGAAACTGTCCTCTGGGTTACAGCCCAAATGTCATGGTTGCTTCTAAAAATCTGAATTAAAGGATTTCAAACTTTTAAACATGACATGGGGAATGATGGCCAGGGCAACTTGATTTATTTCTAGAACAATACCAGAACATATTCGCGAAGGCTTTCACGGCCGGGATCTAATGGTTGTTCTGGTTTTTTCGGGCTCTTTGGCCGTGTTCTGAAGGTCGTTCTTCTTAACGTTTTGCCAGTCTCTGTGGCCGGCATCTTCAGAGGACAGCAACCTGTGCTCTGAACCACAACAACCAATACCAGAAGAGATTTTTCCAGTGAGACCGGTTATTTTTTGAATCTCTCATAATTAGGTCTTGTCAAATCTCAGAATATTTATCTGGTGTGTCACTGACCTTACGGATAACACTGTTGGGTTACTCAAAGTCTGAGATGCTTCTAGATATGAGCAGTAAGGAAGAATATGCACCAGGGGTTCCCATAGGCTGCTCTAGGCCCAGTTCTCCAGGAACAGTGAAGGCTTCATTGGCCAGAGCGATACACTGGAGTCCTTTGCACATGTGCTCTGTTTAAGAGCCGACAGACAGCTATTCCATTATCTGGAGTTATTCAAAATTATTCTGGTGCTTTGGGAGCTTCCAAGTTCAAAACAAATTCCTCAGAACTGTACCCAGGGCAGAATTCTAACTGTCCTTGAATGCAAATTGTTTGAGTTATCATTTTCCTTTGGGAGGGGAATGAGCTCTCTCCAGCCTAGGATGGGGAAACTA